AAATATGCATAGTTCTGTGTGTGAGATTGTTATAGCCCTTCACTGACAAAGCCCAATAAGCGCGAGGAGACCATAACAAACCATGATTACTTTTCGTCGTAAGATTTATCATCAAAAGAGTTTCGCGGCAGTGCTTTTTTACCCTTCCCCCCGATGCTTGGGCGCGTGAGCACGCCCCCGCCCGAGACTATCGCTGACACGCGTGACACACGTGCGGCGAGACACGCGAGCGAGCAGAGCGAGCAGCAGGCACGTCGCCGCCGGTCACGTCGCGCCGGAGAGCCAGTTGGGCTGCCTACCTTGTGGGCGTGGTGCGCCGCCGCCGGGGCCGGGCCTGCAGACAGAGAGACCAACATTGAGCGAGACAATACAGGCTAAAGTGCACCGCCAATGCATTGGACACACCAAACTGTGCGAGTGAGCGGTGTGTAAACCTCGTAAATTCGCGATATGTTTTGTAATTAATATTTACGAAATGTGTTGTAAATTTTAGACACCCAATCTTTCTTGTCGATGAATTCCAAATCGATACACATAGTGTTTGTAATCTGTTATTTTTTTAAAAAAAAAAATGAACTGTAATTTTACGACACGCTTCATGGAAAATTTTACCGTGAAACCTAGTGAATGTCGCACACTTTGTCGATGTGTGAACTCCCGCTCGATCACTTGTTCACCTGTAGTGAAAGGTGTGAACGTCCCTTGGAATTTAGCTCACCTGATAACCCCAGAAAAGTTTGCAAAAGGAAATCCAGACGCCTGCAAGTGTGCGCCACTGACACTCGCACACGTGGGTTTTTCTGTGTGTTAGCGTTCCACACAGAGTGCAGCTAAAGTGCAGCCCTCGTGCCGCTCTGAAACGGACACGTCCCCGCGCGTGACACTTCCAACCGTCACCGCAATAACTGAACTGCCACAGCATTCGAGTCTTCAAGTATAATGAAAAACAAAAAGGTCACAGTAAATTTAAGCTCTCGGAAACCTACAATGTCAAATGATCTTTATAAGATACGTACATGGCATCGGTGCACCATGGTGTAAAATGTCCCACAAGCTGTAATTTGTGAATCATTTGGTTACATTTTCGGTGCGGTGCGGTAATTGATGTTGTTAAGTGTATGATTTTTTTATAAAAGAGTGGAAAAAATTTTCAGGGAAGTTGCTGAAAATTGAAATTTATATAGCCCTTCGAATTACATATTTTGAGACGAAATGTCTGTTTTCTTAAGTAGCCCCTGGTTGGCAAAATCAAATCACCCACTCGCGCTCTTCTCCTCTCGCCCGCCTTCCTCCCCACTCTCGGCCCCCATCCACAACCACTATAAAAACTGAGATAAGCTCCACGACCGCGGTCCAGCTGATGCGTGCTCTATCTTTACTACCCACACAGTGCGGCATCGTGTCCCATTGATTCGGTACACCGACGAAATAGTTGCGAAAATTTCAAGGTTTTCTTTATTAATGTATTCATTTTAAACAGTCCCCTACAGACTGTCTCTACCAGAAGGCACCCCCCCCTCCATTCCTCCTCGTTTTCGGAATACAAAGAGTTTTTTAGGTACCTACTTATAAAGTTTCTGCTGGTGGGGCTGGTGGTAAAAATGCAATCAAATAACTTAAAAATGAGAGTGCAGAATTTGCTAGCGGTAATGAATTCGAAACGGGCTGATAAGAATCCATAAGCTTTGTAAGCTAACGTGAACCTCAGAAAGAGGCGAAATAAGGTCACACTTACAGCTCAAGGCTGTAAACCTTTTTTCTTGATAAAACTCACCCGATGATGTCACACAAGTACTTATTCGTAAAAGATACCTGTCGACCGCGGCTAGGCGGAACGTACTTGCCACTACCACAAATAAGATAAGGACAAGGATAACCTAGCCTGGACGGTCAATGACGATGCAAAAAGTATGGTGTCATAACCTTATGAAATCACAATCATTGTAAGTAAACTGAGGAAGAGCACTCTCATTTCCCTATGGATGTGCTATCCGTATGTTATGGAGAATTTTGTGCTAACATATTATGGATCACAAATTATCCATAATATGGATAAAATTGTCCGTATTACAGACAATTTGATCCATATTACAGACATGCCCTCCTCCGTAAGGTATAGACCTTTCGTCCATACCGTACGGATGAAGGCATGTCTGTAATATGGATCAAATTGTCTGTAATACGGATAATTTTATCCATATTATTGATAATTTGTGATCCATAATATGTTAGCACAAAATTCACCGTAAGCGTGTCCATAAGGAAATGAGAGTGAACGTGTATGTCATTAGACAGATATCCCAAGTGGTGGATCACCACACTCTTCTTCTAGTTTACTACGCGTTTATATTTTCTATTCTCTCGTATGGTATCTCAATATGGGGTGGCTATGCCACTAAAAGTGACTTGAACAAGTTATTTAGTACACAAAATAATGCAGTGAGGATACTTTCAAATTTGCCAGCTTTTGCATCCTGTAGAGGATACTTCATAAAAAATAAACTCCTAATGGTACATGCACTATATGTATATAGATGCATCATCTTTACTCTGGCAAATCCAAAATACACAAGGCTGGTCAATTCCATACATGAGTACCCTACGCGAAATAATAAAAATATGCATATAGAACGCTCAAAATCAAACGTGGTAAAAGTTAATCCCTCCCACATGGGAGCGATATTCTTTAACAAATTGCCAGATGCACTCAAGGATGCCGTATCATTAAAAAAAAATTCCAATGTAGATTAAAAAATTACTTAATTGAAAGGTAACTGTACAGTTGGGAGGATTTATGAGTTGCTCCCCATGTCAAAAATGTCAAATGTTGCTCTGAAGTGCCTGTTTTTGCCCCCTCTCCTATCTGACTTATGCAATTGTGACCGCCATCTTTG